GTATCAAGGATGCTAGTATCCGGCGTGCGCATGGGTCACAAACTGTTCTCCCATGTTTCAAAATGCTAATCTAGAGTTTGTTTTATCTCGATCTGTTTTTCTCGGGTTTGTTCTTGGTTTACATATTTGCAGACATTTGTCAATTTGTTGCATTCAGGGATTATGAAACAGCACCTCCTGAAAGCCTTGGAGCCGCTGTTCTGCAAGAGCTTCCGGGTAACATCGTCGAATATTTCGTCGGCGCTTGCTCTCCTCCAATAATGCCAGGGCAAACGCGAGACGTTCCGCCTGTGCACTACTGATGTAAATGATCGACGACTATAGATTTGCAGTTTTACTTGCAGACTTACAAAGCTTCCAGACCGGCGACAATCCCTTGTTCTTGCACGTGTTCGGCAGTGCTGTCGTTAACGTATTCCACTCTATAACGTAACTGAATTGGCTTATGGCCTTGTAAAGAGTTGGACAGAACAACGGCCTGTGAAGCTTTTCCTCCTGCTGCAATGTCCGAGGCGCTAGCTGGGCGCATATCCAACTTCATGTATTTCGGTACGGCGAGGAGAAAGACAAAACTGCTCATAGAGAAATCTGTTTTGTTTGCAAACGAGAGCTCCAGAAGAATCTCCTCGCTTTTCGGGGAATCATCACGGTAAAATTGCGCAGACACGTGCAACGAGCCCGATTCAAAAATTGTGGTGGAAAGTATCGCAGCATTGCCTGAGCCACCTCCCGTTCCACTTGCTGATGCTTGAGCCTCAAGTGAGACTGTCGGCACCGCACCTAAAGACTCAAGATCGAATCCAACGTTCTGACTGGGTCCGGGCAGCACACTTTGCGAAGGTCCCCCCATAATGTCCTCCAACGTCATATCATCAGTGCCGTTCGCGTTTGATTGCGATGATGGAAGAGCAAGAAAGTCCCCACCGCCGCTGGCTGGTAATCCCAGTGGTTCTTCCCCGGAAGCGCCACCATCACCAAGCAAATCCAGAAGAAGTCCACCCTGCCCTTCCGCTTGCGGTTTAGGCATCGCTGTGCGCATCTCCTTCCTCTGCCTCGCTCTCTCCTTGACACTCTCAAAGTCCAGGGGAGGCATAGGAGCCATAGCAGATGCTAATAATGATATCGAACCATCGTTCAGGAGCATTAAATACTCGCAAGCACGTTGCTGAATCTCGAGATCTGTCGAACGCGCTCGTTCAAACAGTATCTGCCGAACCCGACTGACAATAGGATTTGCAGATTCGTCCGCCTCAGGTCCAAGCGACACCAATGCACCTGAGTTGCCTGACAGAGAAGAGCCAAGCAGATCGGGTGTTGTTACCAAAGCAGAACTAGGGCCTGCTTGAAGGGCTTTTGGCTTATTGTCGTCAAGGCCGAGCTCTGCCAACAAATCCGTTCCCAACCCAAGGTCCTCATTTGCTTTTCGCTTTGGCGGGGCGGTGATTGCGAGAAGCGACTGCAGCGGGTCCTTATCAGGTCCGTGTTCAGGTCCCGCCAAGGCTAAAATCGAGTTCGACTCCGGCATATCACTCGATGCACCACACACTGCTCTAGCCGCAAATTTCACCAGTCCAGTCAGGGCAGTCTCTCCCAAGATTCTGTTTTCTGTCAAGTACTCGGGCTTATACGTATTCATCCATGGCTCATCAGTGACCTCACTCGCCTGCAACTTCTCTGCGAACGCATTTAGAACCACGGGGATGTCTAATCCGATACTCGGTGTAACTTCGGCATGCTCACCCAAAACGTACAGAGCAACCCTTTCTAGTCGTGGCTTTCTGAGACTAGTAGCTGTTGATCCGCTGTCGTTTTCCGGTACGATATTCGACGATCTCGAGCCTTGAAAAGGATCCACATCTTCGTGTAATCCACCCATCATTTTTGGTGCCAATGCCTCTGTAAATAGGGTGAGTACAGCATGTCCTTGAACTTCCGGATTTGCAGAAATAAGTGCAATGAATGAAGTAATTATGTCTTCTGGCATGGATAGGTCTGCCGAACTCAAAGCTCTGACAAACTTCTCGACCTTCCAAACATCCGACGAGCCAAAACGATCACCAAGCATAAATATCTTCCAGCAGGCATCCTCTTTGGCCTCGTGAGAATTGCTCTTGGTAATGTAGGCTAGCAGTTCTTCCACCATCTCCTCAATATTTGTGCCATCTGCAATCCTGTACCCCAATTCTACTGCCCTTTTCCGTACTGTCGGGTCTGCTTCTCGCATCGCTCCTAAAACCTTCTCCTTCAATCCGCTTACGTGTGTTAAGACACCAATCCCATCCGCATCAATAATCGTGGTTAATTCTTGTAATGCAATGTATCGTACGGTTGGTTCCCTATGGGTAAGGAATTTTGCACACGTCTCGACCGCAAGAACACGCAGTGAAGGATCAGTTTGCACTGACACAATCGTCCTGACACATTCGTATAGCACTGCGCATCCGGCCACCTTCTTCGTCTGTGTGTTAGCCGCAACTTGTGCTAGGACATCAGAAAGGTGTTCTGTAAGATCGCTGGGAGGACTAGATTCAAAGAGCAAGCGAAGAGATGCAATGATCTTGACTTGTAGAAAGGGATTGCGCACCCCTCCAATGACCGTTTCTATTCCTGAGCCCCTTCCCTTTTTCAAGAGGTGCTCTCGAAGGATGTTAAGCAAAATCGGTGCAACAGACGATCGCAATTCTACAATATTTGTGGTACTCTGCCTACATAGAGCTGCAACCAATGCGGTAACGGATATATGAACGGCCGGAGAGCTTGTATCCAGAACGTGTGGCATATGGTGAAGAATGTTAGTTGTCTCTTCCTGAGACAACTTTCGGACTGCCCTCACTGAGGCGAGAACGGCCTTCTTTCGAATATATGGGTTTTGAGAGAGCAAATGCTTCTCGATCTCCGGAAGTAGATCTCGGACCATTTCCACGCTGGCGATATCGCCAAGAACGTTAAGTGCGAGGCTGACAATCTGAAGTTCGTCGTTGTGAAGGTCTTGCTTGAGGCAGTTAGTCATTAGCATTAAAATCTCTTCGGTTTCGTCAACAAGAATCATTAGTCCAAGATAAGCGACGCGTTTGTCATTGTACTTGTTGCTGGCGCAAAGTTTGATGCATTCGGTCATTCCAAAGTCAGTAGGGTAGCCATTCATGTGGAAGAATAAGAGCTTTGCTATATTTCGTCTTCGGAACGTTTTGTCGCCTTCGCGAAATAGGTCGCGAATATGTGCAGCCTCCTTCTTGACGAGCGCCCGTTCCTCGGATTTTGTCGTACATGCTCGATACGCCTTGATGAGCTCCCTGCAACCAAGAAATTGATGTCATCAGTTAGAATTGGTCCCAGTTTCAAAGAGATCACATCTGCAAGGGGGTAGATAGGACTTACTTTAATGTCCGACAAACATAGGTGCGCTTGGCTTTGCTCCAATTTGACTTGGCTCCTTTGAGAAACTTCTTTGCTTGTTTCTCCATGTTCATGGCGACAATGTGTTGAGATCCTCACCTTGAGACAAGTCCAAGGCCGTGGGCGGCTTGCGTCGATGTCAGGGATATGCGCGGGTCGTGGACCAAACACGAAGTTGGACGAAACTGGGTAACAGCATGGGAGAGAAGAGCGAGCTGGTTGTTGCACGGCTGGACTCCGAGTTGATGATTCCAGTGTACAATAGAATAAGGGGCAGTGAATGACACTAAAAGCACTGAATTTCAGGATAAATTTACAGCACGACTGCCGAGCCAATCTAAATTGACCTCATCGGCCTCACTGCCTCCTCATTGCTCACCGTGTTACACGTGTATAGATGGAGCGATGGCACCCCCCTCTGACAAAAAACATGATCCACATTTTGTGCTGTTCCTTGTCTCGCCCGGTCGGAAACTTTTGGGAAGCCCGAAACAGGCGGAGACGAACTTTGTTCAATAGTCATAGTCTGGTCCCAAGTCTCGAAACAAATTCCCACAGCCTTCACCATGGTCGCTGAAGGTGGCGTCGACGCGGACACCCTTGGACGTGCGACGTGGACATTCCTGCACACGTTGGCGGCGACGCATCCGGAAAAGCCGAGCGAGACCGAGAAGGCGAGAATCACTCGCTTCATGAAAGATTTCAGCGAAGTTTATCCATGCGCTCCATGCGCAGAATCTTTCCGCGACATCATGAAGCGCAACCCAGTTGAAGCGCACTCGGGGAGCGCCTTTTCCAGGTGGATGTGTGTCGCGCACAATGAGGTTAATAGAGAACTGGGAAAGGACGTGTTCGACTGTGCCAAAGTGGCCGACAAATGGGGTATTTGCGAATCATGTGCGGCGCATGAAGAGGAATTGAGTGATTTCAAGTCGGCTTTTGCGGGGTTTGCATCCTCTCGGAAAGTAAAGGGATAAGCGATTGTATAATTTTCAGCTTCAGAGTTGTGTGGGAGGGCGGCGTATCATATCTTGCTCAGATGTCTTAGTGTGGACCAGGGCCCCAGAGCTACAAGGCATATCTCATTCGCGATGCCGACCTACTTCTGCTCCTTTGCGACGAGGCTTTCCAGTAAGGCTGAAAGTAGAGACCAACTTTTTGACGTCATGGGTATGTACAGTATGAAGCTCCTCGCTCGGATGATTCATCGCCTAGATGCGTGTCCCGATGGACCACCACATTCTCTATTGAAGTACCTCAATGTGACGGATGTGACGAAAGCCCACGAGCGAAGATAGCACCATCGACGAGCGCCGAGCCGAAGTGTGCGCATCACCAGGACACGCTTCATCAATCCTCGATGCTCAGCGCTTCAGCACATGGGGTGTTACTGTACCGTAGACGAACACCTGAACTGTGCAGTAGAGCAGGAGACCGAATGCCCAACATACTCCGGGGCTACCGAGGGCTACTTCAGAAACCAACAAAAAGTCAACAGCTGCCCGAGAAAATCAGATCTTTTGATCCAATTCAAGCCGATCAACAAATGGCGTCGTCGTCGCCCCACTCTTATCATACACACCCCACTCAGGGCACTGTGCGCCGACGTCCGCGCCTTGTCTACAATCGCCCACCATCAACAACACCTCCTCCATTGCCGCGAGCCGCACTGCAACTTCCATTCCCTTGCGCCCCTTCCGCCCCTTCCGCCCGTCATTATGTCTCCGACGCCATCGGGTTGCACCGTCAAGGACGTTCCCCCAGCAGAATTTGTCACCACCTACGCCGCCCATCTCAAGCGCGTTGGACAGGTCGAGCTTCCCTCATGGGTAGACACCATCAAGACCGCCCCGCGTAAGGAGCTTGCTCCCTACGACCAGGATTGGTTCTACGTCAGGATCGGTACGTCGCACTCATCATCCGAACGATCGCATTCTGATCACATGCGCCAAAACGTCGGAGCTTTCTGCGACGTGCTCGAGTTGGTTGCGCCCTTGGGATGAGCGCACTTTTCGTTTCAAGATCACTAACTTCATCCGCGCATGTGTCCCACCACGCCTGTAATTATCGATAGCCTCTATTGCCCGTAAGATCTACATCCGAGGCGGCATCGGCACCGGCGAGTTCCGCAAGATCTACGGCGGCCGCAAGCGCCGCGGCATGAAGCCGAACCGCAGTTCAAAGGCGTCCGGCGGCCTCATCAGAAACGCTTTGCAACAGCTTGAAAGACTCGGTGTCATCGAGACCGACGCCCGTGGCGGCCGCAGACTCACAAGCAAAGGCCAAGCAGAGATGGATACCCAAGCAGCGCAGTGTCTCAGCGTCAGCGCATAACGAGCTAATCGCAGATCTTCGGCTCGCGACGCTGGTCTTAAACAACCCCTAATCGTTTTGCAGATATGTTCGTACCGTCGTGTGCTGAATAAAAAAGCTTTCGGCTGTCCTCTATCTTGCGTGCGCGGTAGTCCACAAGCGTGGGTCGTTGCCGGTTCATTCATTTACGTCAGATTCTCCCGTGCTATCTCCGTCGTGCTCTACACAGGGTTTGCGTGCACAGACTGCACTATGGCTCTCGTGCCTCACCCCCTGAGGTCCCCGCTCATCGACACACTCGACACCCAATTCGTGTGCCCGGTCATCGTGTCGCCGATTTGACGTCCCGTCTCAGCGTCCCATACTCGCACCGTCTTGTCACGTGACCCCGACGTTCAAGGCCAAAACCAAAAAAAAAGTACAGCAAAACAATCGAAGGCGACCCCCCTCACAAAACGCCTTGCAACCCCCTTCCATAATACCCCTCCCTCGACGCCCAAACGGTACCAATAGCCGTAGCGGCGCCGGCAGCGGCCCAGATAGCCGCCGTCCTCGGGCCGCGCGTGCTCTTATACAGCGCGCCTGCTGCCGCGCCAGCCGCGGCATAGTTAGTCAGCGTCTCATCACTGGTATAGTTGTACAGGATGCTCTCCGACAAGCAAAAAGCCAGGGCGAGAACGCCAAAAGTATTGGCCATAGCCGCGCCTCTCTTCCCCGTGCCGTTCAGCACGGCGTTGACCCTAAGCTTCGCGGCTTTCCCAGCGCTGTCGTGCATGGCGCCGTAGAAGCCGCGGCCGGCGCCGATGACGGCGCCGGTCAAGTACGAGCCGCCGGCGAGGTAGGTGAGCTGCTCGGTGCCCGACTTCTTGCGGAAGGCGCGGTAGTCCTCGGCGAAGACGTATTCGACGTCGTCCAACGGGCGCGCGCGCAGCGAGCGCGGCGAGAGCACCGACGGGTTGATGCGGCCCATCGAGCCGAAGTCGATCGCCGGCGCGGACGAGGACGAGGGGAGGGGCGTGTCGAATGCGTCGGCGGAGAAGGAAGGGGTCGGGGCAGTGGAGTAGATGTCGAAGGAATCGGCCGGCGGGGTGGACGCGTCGAAGTCGTCGTCGAAGGCGCTCGCAAAGTCCGACGGAGAGCCCGTACCGTACGGGTCACTCGACAGCTCCTCTGCAGGCCCGGGGGAAATGGTTTTTTCCGGGCTGGAATGAGGTGGCACGTGCTGCGGGCGGGGCGCGACTTACAACCCGGGGGGAGGAGGGAGGGGGGGCGGGGTGGCGGCTGTACAGGCGGCCGTTGACGGTTATGGCCGTTGATTTGGGGCTCAAGCCGCTGTACATGAGAAGCAATCTAAAAAGTCGTAAACGGCCAAGAGTCTCCGCTGAAACGGCAGAAGAGAAACTAGTGAATGGGGCAGCTAATCAAATGAAAGCCACGATTGCGAGCAAGGAAGCCTCCACAGCTCCGGTAATTGCCAAGCCAACGACAGGTCGTAGTGAGCACGATTTGCTAGCAGCGGACAAAGCCGAGAACACGGGTCGCGAAACTGTTTCCCTCCCTGCAGCTGCTGTCGGTGAGAGCAACGGCTCCCTTGCGCTTGTTCCAAGAAAGGAATCTGCAGAGGGCGCGGTCCCCTCTGCAGAGACCGAGACCGACGCCCGTGGCGGCCGCAGACTCACAAGCAAAGGCCAAGCAGAGATGGATACCCAAGCAGCGCAGTGTCTCAGCGTCAGCGCATAACGAGCTAATCGCAGATCTTCGGCTCGCGACGCTGGTCTTAAACAACCCCTAATCGTTTTGCAGATATGTTCGTACCGTCGTGTGCTGAATAAAAAAGCTTTCGGCTGTCCTCTATCTTGCGTGCGCGGTAGTCCACAAGCGTGGGTCGTTGCCGGTTCATTCATTTACGTCAGATTCTCCCGTGCTATCTCCGTCGTGCTCTACACAGGGTTTGCGTGCACAGACTGCACTATGGCTCTCGTGCCTCACCCCCTGAGGTCTACGTGGTGCCAAGGACACGCTTGTACACAACTTCTGAGAAGTTAGGCTCCTTCTGCACCTCCCCTGGTATCGCGACTGTAGTAGACTTGATATCGCCCCATTTGTCCAGCGCAATTCGCATCGTATCCTTAAGCATCACAATCTTTGCTTTATACAATTCCACGGTTTCTCCTTCAATGAGCTTTCCGCATTGCTCTGTATATTTTCGTAGTGGTTATGCATTCGCAGGAGACATGATGAGATAGTTTAGTCTCTCAATTTTTTGCTGTCGAAGACATGTTCACGAAGAAACTCAATGTCTTACTCACCGTTGTGTGCTCTCATGTACATACATCCCGTCTCGTCTCCAACAAGCACTTGTTCTCTCCTTCCCTCTACAGTTGCAGACTCTTTCTTGTTCAAGCTTTGCTTTTCGAGTACCTTTACGATGACGCAATGGTCATGTGTACGTGGGGCCAATCTGTCCAGCTTCACGTCTGCAGGAAAAGGGCGAAACAATTAGTTCATTTCAAAACTTGTCAGATTCAGCTACGTGAAGTCGCGGGGAGAACTCTCAGACAATTGTGCTCGTGGTCCTTTCACTCACATTTCGGTTTGTTTCGGTTGAGGGAGGCCATGGTAATGAAAAAACCTTTCCCGTAGACGTATTGCAGCGAAATTGGCTTTCGATAGAGAAAGTTTTGGTACAAGCCTGCGAGGGTATGCTCAGAGAATAGTTAGTTTTTAGTTGGTTAGCCTCGGCGTCGAGAAAGGATGAACAAAAACGGTGAGAGCTATTGAAGCAGTGGCATACGTGGACACGTTTTCACCAAGAAACACGGAACTAGCAGTACAGTAGTGATCCCCTATGAGGTTGAGCAGAGCTTCCATGAAGGCGTCTGCAGTGATTCTGGCTCGCATGTAAATTCCTCTCGGCTGCATGCTGCAGCAACCATTCCTTGTCAAGCGTAGAGGATACATCTGGAGAAAGCGGTTCCATTACTACCATGGCTTCGTTGAAGTCAGGCTCGAGAAAAGAGGATCGTGGACATCTGCATAGGAAGCGAGTATGCTCTACAGATTCCTTAAGTACCACTCAAGGACGTTTCATGACGATGCAGTTTTTTAAATACCCTTGATAAAGTAACTCTGCAACCTTTATGCCTGAACCTCCTAGTCTACAATTGAGCAAAACTCGTACTGTTTCTTTCACGTGGCATTTGCCACGTGAAAGGGACAGTACGAGTTTTGCTCTAATTGCAATGTGCCCTTAAGAATGATTATCTGTGCACATCGGAAAAAAAAGAGACGTAATTCCCCTGTCTGTGCTCCCAGCTCAAGCGTTTCTTGTATCCCAACTAGGTCATTTCTAGCCTATTGGATCAAAGCGCCGCCACCTCCGCGCCTCTTCGACGTCAAGTATGCGATGACCCCGAGAAAATTGACCTGTTCAACTTTTCAGCTAGCAAATGTGATTGACATGAATTGATATGAGCTGGGAAAGCCTCGTGAAGCTTCTTTTGATACCTTGAGCAATGGGAGGGGGCCGACATTCCCTCAAAATTTCCGAGTTGAAGCCGAAAGGTATCAATGTGCAGCATAGAGATTAGCCAGTTTAGTTTATGGGTTTGTAGTATCAGATGAAAGTCCGACTTACAATAGCCTCGTCCTATTCCCATGACCCTTCAGGCATAGGTCGTTTCTTAGCTCGATCAAAACTCCAGCATCTCCTAGATATGAGGCAAGACGGGGGAATGAACTATACAACGCTAGTATGTGTTCTGAATGTCCTAACAGCACCAGATCAATGAAAGTATGCAAGAGGACATTTCGATTATCATTGTTATCTACGATGGTTCCATTGTCATGGCGCTTAGTCTTCAAATAATTCGAGTGGGCCACGTCCCACCCCCCAGTGAGTACTTCAGTTCTCCCGTCGCTCATCTCACGAACTACTCTCCGAAATATCCCTCGAAATGCTTTCGTATCTGTCGCCAGAAAAATAGGCAACGAGGGACAGCCGGACATGTAGCTCATGGTTATTGCCCGCGAGGCTAAGCATCGGGCCACTCCTTCCATATCATCACTGACTTTGTCAAAGCGACTCCCCCTTTCACCGACCCCCTTTCCTATTCTGGCATGAACTCCAATGTATGACCGCCTCCTTCGTTTTTGAAACAACAAAGACATGGTTTCAATACCGGGCGTTCGCGTTCGCTCGTTTATTCTGCGGAGCTCCATTCGCCAAGTCTTCTTCTCAACTTCCCTCTCAATTGCAGGACTCAAGCGGAAGACGTGATGGAGGATCGCGCGAAGAAGAGTTCCGTCTGCTCGAGTTTTACCCAACGTCCTTAGTGACAAACCGGGAGCATTGAACTGACTTAAAAAATCGTCTGATATGGTATGAGGGATTTGCTCAGTTTTGAGGAAAATGGTGTGCGTGCTTGACGAGAAGGCTTTCTCGAAACTCTTCAAGTGAGTTCGATTCATGTGTAGTGCATCTGGCACCATTTTCCCGTCACCGCCCTTCATCAGTTTAGGCTTGTCGGTCGTCTCGTCGTAAATGAGTTTTAGCTCTGGCTTTGATGGTATCATGAATTGCTGAAACGGAAATAGATCATCCCATGCAACCAAGAAAACTCTATTGGATACAACGGCGGCCCAGTACGAGAAGAGCAAACAATGAAATCTGTCTCCCATACCCGTTCTGGCCGGACTGAATACTAAACGACGGGTTTTGGAGTGACGATTGCGTATGTGAAAGTTCACGTAGTCATGGACAAAGTACTTGACAATCAAGCGCTGAGTTTCACTGAGGCCGTTGGCACCCAAATAATTTTCTCTGGTAATTCCTCGGTTAATTGACTTGAAGAGTGTGTATGGTCGAAGAATGTTCGCAAAGTGTGTTGGTGAAACTCGTTCCGAGCGAAAATTAATAAAAGAGAGTTGCCTCGGAGATCGTAGCATGAGATGGCGGCAAAGCATAAAGAAAAACAAAAGTTGGAATAGAAAGAAGCACTTTGTACATGGTGAACGAAGGAATACGGAAGAAGGGTTGATAGATTTCTTATCTCCTCCCATTCTTTCTTTCGATTTTGATCGCACTTCGATGCTAGACATGGTCTTTCTGGCAAAAGAAGAGCAGTCTGAGGATCACATGTCTCAGGAGGTTTTGGGCCTTGTATTTGAGAACTAATGCTAACAGCGATATGCGATTGTCGATGTAGTCTGTGATCATTATCACTGTCAGTCGTCGAGGATCGTTATGCCTGTCCCGTTGTAAGGAACACGAACCTCTCACTATATGGTAATATGGTATGCCTGGGTAAGGTAGGCAATTCAGAGTGCGTAGCTAGGAATAATTCGAGCTGTTTGATTGTTACGCAGATCACATCGATGCGGAGTTATGACGTCTGGGATACCAGGGGAGGCAGGAGAATCTAAAAATTCTGGGCACGACACTTTTGAAGCCGTTGACATTCGCCCCCAAGCAGTTTCGCAATATATGCAGTATATGCATTTCGAGTGCTGCTTCCGCACAGATTAAAAAACAAACGAGAATGGCACTCGCGGTGTTTTTACCTGCACTCTTAATTCAAGAATTGCATTGTGCGATAAGCGAACAGCCAGAATGAGACTGCTGAATTACTGTACCATGTGCGATGCCTACAACTTCACGCTGTGGTTCCATCCAGAGACAAATAAGTCACTGACCTACAATAGGACGTAGCAGATAGGGCACGAGACCCACTTACAACATAAAGTCACCGCCGGCCGCCCGTGAGTCAGGAGAGGGGGCCATCGGTGTTCTTGGCATCACACACGCATTGTCAGAAAATACTCAAACCTGTAAACTTTTCGACATCAGCAAGCTGAGCTCCTCAAAAGATGGAGATATAGTTTGTTTGGCTATCTTGCCGTTAAGATTCATGTGCTTCGATCAGTGAAGTGCGGGGAGGGGCTTTGTTTAGTGTGAAAAATCATTTCGCACGAACGAAGAGGCCTTTTTTTTAAAGCTGTTGCATGTTTGCATGCATCAAAACACAGTCATATGAGTATTGCAGATGATGCGCAGACACTATTTGTCATGGCACATTTTCTCTTTATTCAGGATGCCTTGTCTATACTGCTGTGGATTTCTTTCTCATTGATCCTGAGGTAAGGATACATGTTGGTTCCCTTCAGGTGTGTGGCGAGGGGTTCCAATATGGTTCGGCAAAAGGTGTTTCTGATTGGCAAAGTTGTTCAGCATCAGCTTGCTCGGTTGTTCGTCCTCCCGTGCATGTCTTCCCCTTTTCTCTTCCTCGTAGCTCTCGTCTAAGCTGTATAAGTACCTAAATCCTCTTCGGTTTCTTCCCGTTCTTGGAATCGCATGCGTCTCCTTATTGCTCCTCCACGCTTCCTCAGTATTTTCCCTGAAAAGTGCAGTGTCACTGCGCATCCCTTACGTGCACTATGTCCTCTGCGATCTTTCGTTTCCGCCTTTGCTACACCTTTGCTCATGACCCTTTTTCCTCATGATTCAATGTCGTTCTTCTCTCCCGCTGTCTGCTTCTTCTGTAGATATGTGTGTCCCATTGTACTCACAACGTTATCTATGCTCGCGACCCGTCCGACTCAATATACACAAGCCATAAACATTGTGTTCACTCATATTGCAAGTCTGCATTGCACCACCACACCGATGCCTCGCAAGAGGCGACGAATATCATCATAGATAACAGGACAAATATGTGGACAAAAGTGTTCACAGTGTTCACAGTGATTGCATTATAGCATGTAGACGCACTCCCTTGCCACAACAGTAATAGTCCAAATGGACTTAGTACTTAGAACCGAGGTGTCTCTAAATAAATTGTTTCATTTCGATTACACACACGCCATTCTAAATCTTCACAACTGTACTGTTGTGCCCGGTTCCTTGGGCACCGTCAAATCAAGTTTTATTTGCTGGCCAGAGGCTGTTGGCGGGAATCCACCCGGTGCAAGCCTCCGCTCGTCGAGAATCCACTCGACTTCTCAGGAATCCACCTGATCTCGGCCTCTCCAATTCCCTTGATGCCCTCCTCCCTTTTTTCCTCCCCCCTGCCGCCGCGGGTTCCTTTTATGCTACCTACTCTGCGCCCTCTCGCCACCTCGAGCGCTCGGAACGCTGTCTCCCCCGCTCCGTCTCCCATCCCCCGCGACCCCCTGGCCCCACACATGACCCCCCTGCGCCCCTTTTCCCCTTCGCACAGTCCCCGCCCTTTCTCTTCGCGTCCTCCCCGCGGCTCCGCTCCCTACTTCCAGGCGCAATTCTCCCGTTGGCCGGTGCTCATCCGTGACCACGCTTATTTCCTTTCGCAGGCATTGCCGCCCTTTCAGAGAGCTTCCCACACGTGTAATGAAGCGCAACAATCGACCCTTTGCCAGCTCTCCATTGTGCACGGTCTCGAAGTGAATTCGTCCAGAGGTCACAGATTTCCAAATTCAGGCAACGGCATCCAGAGACGTACTTGCAGATGCGCTCTCGGTTTGCGACGGCGTGTTCTCCATCGCCATATCGGCGGCCGTACTCCACGCGGCCACTACCGCTTCGGGAAGATCTTCTTCCTTCGTCCATCGAGGGGAGCTTCGGCCACCAAGTTGTACCTGGAAAAGGCGGGTCTTCTCACCGCTGTCTGAGACCGCCTCCTTCACGCTCTTTATTTT